AATTTACAACAAAACAGACTTTGATGTAAAAGAACTCAGATGCTGTCAATACAGTGTAGATTATATATTTTGTACCCTAACCGTCATTCCTGAATTAATGGTGGAGGAAATTTGCCTGTCCCAGCAACAGTGCGACTTAATGATTGTTGGATAAGGCAGCTACAGTGTAAAAGGCATTGTTATTATATTTCGCTTAGTTTTGCCAATTACATGTACAGTACTTGTTATTATGAAACTTTGCCTTATAGAAGAAATTACGTCTAAGCAATATGAAATCAAGCTTCATGAAGAACAAACAAATATAATTATGTCTTTACGGCATTCTTATTTATTTCAGTTATACCAGTGAAGTCTATTCTAGCTTTTGTTAATTCGGCCAATCTGTTTCCAGATCTGTAGCTGTGGTTTCATTGAATGATCCTCAGCGTGCAAAGTGTCCGATAGGCAAGGGCTAGTGACTTTTGTTCGTAACTTGCCCGACAGACAAGTGCTGTTTTTTCGGGAAAATTCAAATTACAGAAGGATTGTAATCAATCCTGCTAATCAAAAAGGGTTTTGGGGCTAGTTGAAATGACTTGTGGGCTATAGTACATGTTAACTACAACTTGCCCGAATGGCAGGCTGTAAAACTGACTTTCTGGATTCTTTAGTGTTTTAGGTAGTTATTACTGTACCAACAACTTGTGACCTTTGTCTTGTACAAATGAATTTGGCTAATAGTTGTATTATAGTAGGAAAGAAAATAAACTATCTTTTTCTTTTGAAATCTTTATTTAACCTTGGTGATTTCATTAGACGATTTTTGAATACACTTTTCTAGTAGTGTTTTAATTTTTAACATTAAACAATCGTATGTGAATATGGTGAGTTTTAAAGAAAATTCCCAAGACATACATGTACGTGGTTTAGACAACTCCATATGTAAGTGATGTTATTTTTAAAGGGTTTTTCAGCTGGCTTTTAAGTACGGTAGCCCACAACGGCAATACACAAATATATATTATATTACTGCATTCTTTATCTTAGTACACAAACATATCCATTGGCTGTGCGAGTATATTTACCAGTACAATAAAGTATACAGCAGTCCAACAATATGTATCCCAGTACAAAAATGTTAATTTCAGTACAAAAATATAAACTCCAGTACGGAAAGATATCTCCAATTCTTAGTACACAAATAACAGCTCTAGTAAAAAAATATCAGTCTCTCAGTAGAAAAACACAAGTTCCAGGACAAACATATTCATCGGTTGTGCGACTATATTCTTTAGTACAGTAACATTCATGTATACAACAGTACAACAATATTTATCCCAGTACAAAAATATAAATCTCAGTACAAAAATAAAAGTTACAGTACAAAAAATTAAAAAAAAAAAAAAAAAAACGGAAAGAAAAATATAAGAACAGTACAACAATGTGTATCCCAGTAAAGAAATATAAATTTCAATACAAAAATAAAAGNAAAAAAAATAAAAAAAAAAAAAAAAAAAACGGAAAGAAAAATATAAGAACAGTACAACAATGTGTATCCCAGTAAAGAAATATAAATTTCAATACAAAAATAAAAGCTTTGGTACAGAAAAATATTTTTTAAAAAATTTGGAAAAAGTCGGTAGGTACCTTATATATGATTATTACTATGTACCTAAATATATGCTTATTTTAGTGTACCTAAACAAACCTTATATATTTCATTATTACAAATTATCTCGACTATACAGCACTAAACACCACCTTACACCTCTATACCACACCATACACCCCTATACATCACTATACTTCTATGTACAACACTATGCACCTCTATACCTCACGATATACCTCTATACATCACCATACACCCCTATACATCACCACACATCTATGTATATCACCATACTCCCCTATACATCACCATACACCCATGTCAGCACCCATGTATAATACCATGCTCCTCTGTACATCACCATATACCTCTTTTCATCACCATACACCTCTATACATCACCATACACCTATGTATAAAACCATGAGCCTCTATACATCACCATATACCTCTATACAGCACCATACACCCATGTATAAAACCATGAATCACTATACATCACCATATACCTCTATAAAACATCTTACACCCCTATTCATAACCATACACTTGGATACAATGGTCATGTGTAGAGGTCTATGGTTATGTATAGGGGTGTAAGGTGATGTATAGGGGTATATGGTGATGTATAGAGGTATATGGTGATGTAAGGGGTTCATGGTCTTATACATGAGTGAGGGGGGCATGGGGGTTTACGGTATTACGGTATTGAGCTTTTTTCCAAGCGGCATTTCGATAATTTTGATTTTAATGTGCAGTATTGCGGTATCATCCAGCCCTGCGGTATGCGGTTTTTCATCCTTCTGGTTAAACGGTATTCGGTAAAAGAAGATTCTTCACGGTATTGTGGTACCGTTCATTTGGCCTCTCCTGTCTAATGTAGGTCAATATTTGGAAGACTTTGGACTTAACGGTAAATGAACACGCAATTTCTGACGGTTACTCTATGATGAAATTGGTAGGACATCCAATAACCTGGCTTTTCGATCATTGTACCTATCAATTCGAAATCTCTCGTTTTCTCGCGAAGGCTAAGGTTCATTTCTGGTGTATACATGCTTGAGATATTAAAAAAACACGCGAGATGGATACAACGTTAAAGTAAGCTTGACTGATCATAAATGCGGTATCGGTATTTCATCGATTTTCGACACGAAATTTCGGTATTTGCCAATTTTTCTTGACGGCATTGCGGTATTGGGTACCCCCCAATGTACCCCTCATGGGTGTATGGTGATTTATAGAGGTGTATGGTGATGAAAAGAGGTATATGGTGATGTGTAGAGGTGCATGGCGTCATACATGGATGTATGGTGATGTGTAGGGGTGTATGGTGATGTATAGAGGTATATGGTGAAGTATAGAGGTGCATGGTGTTATAAATGGGTGTATGTTTAGAGGTATTTGGTGAGGTGTAGGGTGCATGGTGTTGGATGGTGATGCATGGGGTTGGAAAGAGGTGTATGTTTGTGTTTAGTGCTGTATAGTCGAGATAATTTATAATAATGAAGTATATAAGGTTTGTTTAGGTACACTATAATAAGCATATATATTTAGGTACATAGTAATGATCATATATAAGGTACCTACCGACTTTTTCCAAATTTTTAAAAAAATATTTTTCTGTACCGAACCTTTTATTTTTGTTTTGAAATTTATATTTCTGTACTGGAATACACATTGTTGTTCTGTTGTTATATTTTTCTTCCATTTTTGTAAAAACTTTTTTGTACCGCAACTTTTATTTTTGTACTGAGATTTATATTTTTGTACTGGGATAAATATTGTTGTACTGTTGTATACATGAATGTTACTGTACTGAAGAATATAGTTGCACAACCGATGAATATGTTTGTTCTGGAACTTATGTCTTTGTACTGAGAGACTGATATTTTTTTTTTTTACTGGAGCTGTTATTTGTGTACTAAGAATAAGAGATATCGTTCCGTACTGGAGTTTCTACTTTTGTACTGAAACTAACATTTCTGTACAGGGATACATATTGTTGTACTGGTGTATATTTTATTGTACTGGTAAATATACTTGCACAGACAATGAACATGTTTGTGTACTAAGATATAGAATGCAGTAATATAATATATATTTGTGTATTGCCGTTGTGGGCCACCGTATTTAAGGGTGTTTTTGAAAACTTGCTTTTATTTTCAAGTTATGTTACAAAGAAAATGCTTATAATAATTTTTATTTATTTTTTTATTAAAAACAGGTTAAAACACCATTAAAAACAGGTTAAAACACCTTTAAAAACAGCTCAAAACACCATTAAATACTGGTTAAAACACCTTCAAAAACAGGCTAAAACACCATTGAAAACAGGGTTAGACAACATTTAAAGGCAGGTTAAAACACCATTTAAAACAGGTTAAAACACCATTTAAAGCAGGTTAAAACACCTTTAAAAACAGCTTAAAACACCATACAAAAAACAGGTGAAAACACCTTTAAAAACAGCCTAAAACACCAGTAAAAAAAGGATAAAACACCTTTAAAAACAGGTTAAAACACCAACAAAAACAGATTAAAACACCATTTAAAATAGAATTTGGTACCTGTTTTAAATGAAGTTCTCAAATACAATTAAAACAGTTTTAAAAATACATCAAAAATATGTTAAAAACAGTGTTTGGTTTGGTACGGGAGTACACAGACGGATGGGGTTAAGGGCTTCACCACTTTGGAGGAGGCAACAAATACGCTTTCCGCTTTAGGTTTGTACATTGTTAAAGCAAGAGCATGGAAAATATTATGGAAGCACACTACTGAAAACGACCTGGTTAATAAAAAGAGTTACTGTCATACCGCTCTTCTTATTCAATATTTTTGTTTTGTTTCTGATATACTCAAATACTTCTGCTTATTCTTTATAATCAGCTAAGGTTGACCTAAGTAGGAAGACATTTGCCATAATCCAGTAAAATGGTGTAAATAGTGCTTGACATCAACAGAAAAAGGCAATGCAACCGAGAAGATGTTACGGTAACTCAGTTCTTAAAAATTTATTCATACATTTTTCAAAGACGACATAGCCCAAATACTGTTAAAAAATCACAGCAAGGAAAAAAACTCGACAGATGACAACTGCTTTTTGAAAACTATCTGCAGCCTCCCCGTATCCGCTGATTCTATTGATCGGTTCAGTCACATCCAATAATTGCTAGTTAAGAGAAATCAGTCACGCAAATATTTTTGCCTGTGATTTTCTTTTTTCAGGCTTACATGAGCAAACAGCTTTAGATATCACTTCTCGCTTACAGGTGGCAAAAACTTACCTGAAGACCGATTATAAAATCCATTTGTCCAGAGCTGATCCTTGCGCTGATCATTGCAGTGTTTATGCACTCAGTTCTGATGAGCCAGAATACCAGGGGTACTGCGAGCATGAGCACAACATGATCTGTGACAAATGCGAAAACAATCGAAATGCTCTTGTAGACCTTCAGCTGTCGTTGTTATCTTCTGTGGTAAAGTATAGGCGAGTATAGACTCCTGCGTTTGAAAGAAAGTTATTTAATGAAGGCAAGCGCTGACGCAAATGTGAAGGAATCTGAGCGGAGAGCCTGAACACTACTGAACAGATACTACTAAGAAGTTTGAATGCCACGGAAGCCGCAAACATGAACCCAATATGGTCGCAAAGATGCTACAACTATTGAAATGAAGTAGGAGAACTGACACAAGTTTCAGGAGGAGCCCGAGGGGGTAATGACCAATAAAAATGAGGAAATGGAGGGAATTCAACGTCGCCTGTGTTCGCTTACTGGCCCGCGCACTACCCCCACCTTCACGCTTCGAATTGCTTTGCTTTGTAGCTTTTTCACCAATTTTGAATAAGCAATAGAAATTATTTTTTTAATATTTCTATAGAATATTTAAACCGTTGATATTGTCATATCAATTTACTTAGCACTGAAGAATAATTTAGTTCATTTTTCTGTTAAAGCGGTAACGACTAAGAGGAAGAAATAAGATATAAGGTTGACACCGCTTTTCCCAAAATTGAGGAATGGAAGGCCCACATCCTTCGGGCAGCCCACGAGGATGGTGCAAAAAGTGACGTAATTGACAATTTGTTGACAACCCAGATCTTTCCGATTACGGATTGGGCCATGAAACTTTTGCCAGCCAGTTTCAGAGAAACACAGCGGGACTGGTTTGGCAAAAACGAAAAATCGAGGCATGTGGCAGTTGCAGTGACTAAGAGTGAAGATGAGGAGAGAGAGGTAGTCACCTGAAAATGGTTAGTGTAGAACCGTCTGGTTTGATTGAAACTATGTGGTTAAATTCTAATGGAAAGGGGGTGTTTTATCAAGTTAGAAATATGCTCTAATGAAAATGTTATTTGGGTAATGACGGCGTCGCATGATGTAATCCCTGTGCACCACCAGATGCCTAAATGTATCTGGAGTAGTTTAACTCATTGCTAAGTCCGTCTTTGACTTTTTTTTTCAGGCCCGAACCTACATCCATTTGTTCGAAGAATTTACTCCAAATTGGTTTGCTGTGGCTTCAATCATAGAGCGCACACTATCGCTATTCCGAACAGCTACCGGTCATTGGTCATTTGTGTACAGAGCCACTCGGTTATGAAATGAAGTTAACCCCGGACTCTAACTGATGTGAATAATTTGATTACTTTTAAGGATGTTCTTAAAAGTAGCGCTTGCGAGTATTTTATAGTTTCATAGAATCTAGACCTAGACTCTTTTTATACTAGCCAGGATAGTTTTTATCTATTTCTAGTGTTTGGATGCATTTTTTGCTAAAAAAAAAAACATTTTATTTGAGTGAGAAATAAAATAATTTTTTTTAAGGTCACGACATCTCAAGTGCTAGAGCTATGAAAACTGCTATTGATTCCTATGGTGGAGTTAAACGGTGCCATGTAGCAGTTGTGAAGATTCAGGAGTCTAACCAAACAATGAAGAAGCACACAATGACCGGAATTCAGGCTCTCAATAATTTCAGCTTCGACTTGTCAGGTTTGCGAGTATGGAGGGCCTACAATGTGGGCCCTGGAAAGCTTTTCACACCAACACAGGTGAAGCGATTTGGTTTGCCTCAGGGGCCTATAGCTACCGGTCCGCAAGTCGTGCAGCCCTTTAGCATACCACGGGAGGATGTTGGTGTCTTTAGATCTTTGTCAAAGAGGGTCGAGTGCGTGCGTCCTCAACCTTGCACTCCACAATCTGTTGTTAAATTACCCAGCCGATGAAGCTACACGAGCTTTCTTCTTCTGTCCTGAGGAAGGATGTACAAAGACATACCAGTCTTTTACAAATCTGCAGAAACACCTGGATGCGGGTAAACATCTTGTCAAAGTAGAGAGAGAGAATCGACCTACGACAGTGTAAAGAAGAAATGGGCCGAGATGTGCAAAGAGGTCTCGGGGAGCTACATACACAGAGAAACAGCTTCCAACCCGCAAACATCTAGGTATGATCCCACTTGCCAGATCTCCAGCGGATGAGCGTTAAAAACATCGCGAAAAGCAACAAGCTTTACTGAAAAAGTAAAGACACATCTGAGACAGATATTCATGGAAAGTGAGGAGACGGGAAGAAAGGCAAGTGCATTTGATGTATGTAGCAAAATGAGAGCTCTTCGTGATGACAGTGGCAGGAAAATATTTAGCAAAGAAGAGTGGCTGACTACAGAGCAAACAGCCCGATAATTCAGCAGATTGTTTGTTCTGTATATAAGTGGCCGTCTAGCCATAGAACAAACTGATCAAGATGAAGAGGAAGACTTTGTTAGAGAGGCAGAAGAGATGTGCCCAAGACTCGAAATAAGAAGACAGTTGGAACTTTAGGCCATGAATAATAGTGCTTTAGGTACATGCTTCAATTAGCCATTTTTAAAATTAGGGGACTGGGTAAGATTTTTCAAGATTTCCCAAGATATCCTACTGTCTCTTTTGAAAATGCCTCGATTGAATTGTAGCATGAGCCCATCATGGCTCCTGTTTTCAGCTGTTTATTGGGCCATTATGCATACATAAAGGAAAATGTATATCACGCAAACTTGCTCGGGTGTAATCAGGGTATAAATCCTAAGACGTTGTTTCGCGCTCAATTACATGGAATTACAGATAGCTTTAACCGCTGACTAGAAATAACAACGTCTCCGGGCTCATGTTCTAAAATGTCGCCATGTTTGACCCGTGTATTTCACGTTGTTGCTGCGTCAAGTCAATAATTTATCGTTTCTTCGGCTAAAATAGAATTAAATACACTTGCTAAACTCCGAAATTTACTAGCAAGAGCAAAATAAAGTATATGAGGGAAAAGTATCAGGAAGCATTCATTCGAGGCCGCAGGAGCGTAGTGTGAGTGTATTTTTATACTAATTGTCGAGGTCAAGTTGATGACCATTTAATCGTAATTCAAAATTTCATGCTAAGAACAGATAAAGATTAGCCAGGATCGTTTATTTTGAACTCACGGCAGATTTAAAATGATAAGAAATACTCGCGCACTCGTTGCAGCACGAGGGTTCTTATTAATAGAATCTGGATGCTATCAAGCTTAATATTACCATCATTTTGGTCGATATAGCAATGAATATTGCTTTGATGTATGAGCCATATGTAAGTAATAGTGTAAAAAACACTATTTATTTCACTGTTTGGAAAATTGCGTGAATATACTCAGTATCATATACTATTTTGTTTTCTTAGATTTGTTCCCTCTGTCTTAGAGAAAACCAGTTCATGACAAGGGGCTCGAACCACTTTTAAAACCAAAACATGACAGATGCCAAAAATTTTATTCGCCATTTTATACGTCTAAGGATAGGTTTAAATCTCTGTAAAAAACAGATTTGAAAAAAGACGTTGGATTTTTCAGATATTTGGATCTAAAATTGATCTATTTTCTCTAACTTCGTAATCTTTTTTGACATGGGTGGACACTGACTTCCCTTGATTGGCACCTGTCACTCCAAATGACTTGAAACTGCAAGTATCAATCGGCATAGGATTGACCTTTATTTGTGTCGAAGGGGATTAAAATTCATTGTATCTTCTAACCAGGAGCAGTGTCCAATTTTGATGCTTATTTTCGCGAAATTTTGATGATTAAGGGCAAAAATCCAGTGTGGGTGGTCTAACTTCCAAGGGAATAGCTGGAAATCAGACTCACTTTGTCTTTGAGAGTTATTGGGTGCGTCCTTCAATCTGACCAAGTTTCATCCAAATCGGAGAGATAGCTTGTGTCACGCCCGCCTGGTCCTCTCATGGACACAGTCTTAAATTCCAATTTGATACCCCAGTCATCTGAAAACTGTTTGTCAATTTCACATGCAGCAACCTTTAAAGCGTAATGAAAATAGTAATTCAATAGGCCAGCTGCACTAAGAGGTCACGTGACCAATGCTTCCTTTAAACGATGAGTTGGAATCTTGCTGATGCCAAAAATTGACAGAGCACATAAAAATGATCTTACACCCGAAATTTAAGAGGAAACGCATTTAAGGGAGATATTTTATGGCACTTTGTTTTTTTCAACAAAGTAGTATGATTTGTGTTGGCCGCCATGTTGGAGGGCATACTCTTGCCCTCCAACATGGCGGCCAAAACTAATTTTTGCTTATATCTTTTTAAACGTCTGATAGTAACCCTCAGATGCGCTGTAAACGTTACCTCATCATCTTTTCAACACTTCCCATGAACTTTAAGTGCACAATTTGTGTTCAGAAAGGGGTGATTCATTATTTTAAAATCACATTTTGGTCACGTGACCAGCTACGAACTTACTCATTTTAAGGAAATGGTGCGGGTTTGAAAAACCAAATCACTATTATTTTATTTAAGGTATGGCCCCTTAGTCGTTTTTTGAAGGCAAAATCATATAACTTTCATTTCATAAAAACAATGTCACATGACCTCTTAGTGCAAATGGCCTATAATACTTCCTTGCCTGCAGCCGACCAATACTTCAAACCCTTTTTTCTATCCCAGAATAATAGACGCTGTTGTGCCTTGTTACATTTTTTACAAGATGGCAATCAAGTGAAATGCACCTGTTCTCAAGTCTAAGGCTATGAAAAGGAAATACCTAGGAATCTATTGTTGTTGTTGTTTGTGGTTGGCGATTTGTATAGAAGTGGCTATAAACAGAATTTCGCCATTTTTTTCTAATCCGGCCCCTCCTTCTCTCCCTCCCTCCCACTTTGGTGTTTCTTTCTTTTTTTTTCTTTTTTCGCTCTTACCCACAATTCTCTGTCAAGAGACAGTTTTATTTGAAATCAGTGCGCGCCTAAAGCTGGTTTCGGTACAGTTTAACAGTTTACATTCCGTTGTTGGTCACCTTGAGAAAGGTTTCCCAGAGAGCATCATGTAAAGCTCTGAGAAGGGACAAAGTAAACTTTTTGTGTCTCCAAACACAAAACAGACAAATAACACCGACATCCCAGGTAAAAAAGAGTTAAAAATGACAAATTCAAACACCGACAAACGACTCCAGATTAAGCGGACGATGTTAATGTTAGAAGACGAAATTCATCAGGAAATTGAGTAAACTCAATTTTCAGTGGACAGAAAGCTTGTTACAGAATACTTTGAACCATATCGCGTCCTTTTGCACATTTTCCAAGGGCTATGGATAACAGTCTTGAGAAATGTCAGTGTATGTGGCAGATGGAATTTAACCCCAAGAAATGTTAATATACTCTGTGCATTTCATTTAAGTGGGACTCTCGGTGTTTGGGAAAATCAATTATACAAAACCTCCTGTGTATCTCTGCCCGCTAAACAAGCTATTACAGTCGGTTCTAGTTTGGGTTTTAACACAAAGTTGCTACATGATCAGAGTAATTTCAATCTTCTAAAGCTTATGCCACGGCGAAAACAGACGTTTCTCCTCGCTCGTTGCCGCTGGGGGACGTTTCGTGAGGAGGAACGTCTTGACTCAGCGACAGAAATTCCAAACTGATGACGTAAAATCTCTCCGCAATCAGGTCATAAGCGCTTATTGGATGTCGGAATAGTTATGTTGCTCTAGCCATTGTTTTCGAAAGAAAGACAAAACACAGGAGGCTACAAAGGTCAAATACAATATATAAACACGAAAAGATCTATAACAAAACAGGCAATATTTGTAGAATATGTTCTTCTCTAGAAGAAGCATTTGAGTTTTGCAGGAGCTCGTTCACAAATGAACACAACACTTTACCAAAATGGACCAGGAAAAACGTTAAATTGAACAAATTTGCATTTGGAACCCCACGGCTACCGGATTTATTATGCTAACATTGATTTATGTAATCAGTATGGAATTTGCAAACGGCTGTTTTCCAGGCTAATGCCAGTAGAACACATTTCCTTGATGGCTGAATCATATTTGTCTCTCACTAACACACGCCAGGATACACGCCAATAAGTTACTCATTACGGCTGAGCCAATCAGGAATTTGTGGACGCCAGCGTCCGCGGAAATAAAAAGAAAAGGAGGGGTTGCGACAGGCGTCCCTTACCCTGTCAATATCGGGTCATTTTGTAATATTAAGTAGTAAAATTCAGCCGTAATAATCAAACGTTATAAGATAAAAACAATTAACGCATTTGTCTTTTCCATTGTAGTGTGTGCAACAAATCCGGAATACAATGGTAAGAATTGAAACTACGTGTAGGAAGAATATGACAGTCGGGGTGGGTGTAATATTCCGAATGTAATCTTATACTATATTAGATTTTAGCAATTAGATGTCCCCGACTAGTAGGCTACCTGTAGCCAGCTAGGAGATGTGTCTCATTAATAAAGTTGATCAGTCAGTTAAGTTCAGTCATGAATAGGACTGTTGTACAGTGACTGACGGAGTTCGACAACCTTTGCGGCAGTCATCTTTCACCGGCACCAAACGACGGTTTCCTCCAAAATACTTTGAAAACACCTTTTAGGCTATCCAGCGTACGTTTAGAACTCTAGAATAGAAATGCTTTCTAAGAGCGCTATAAAAATAATTTTGTATCTATTCGGCCATCCTAAGGGAACTTGAGGCTTTTCGAAATTACAAGGGCTCCAGTCTTATTTTCCTGAAATTTTTAGATGCAATTGACGTTTCACGAGAGTGAGAATTTTTGTTATTCCTCTCTCTACCACATTTTTGAATCCGATAATTTTAGGTTTCCTTTTTCTACGAAAATTAGCCTAACGTGGGGAGTAAAATGTGAGAAATTAAATTTTAGAAAATCGTAAGGAATTTTTTAGTTAAGCT